GCTCACGGCGAAAGCTATCCTGCATATAAAGGAGTCTCTAAAGGTACTGGTGGACAGGAAGAGCTGGGAAGCGGAAAGGGTGGAGTCACTCCCCCTCATCCTCCTTCCAAGAAAAGAAGTACAGGGCAAAGCGAGGGTGGAGATACTCCCCCAGCAGCAAAGGCCAAGAGTGGAGATCCTCCCTCGGGGGACCCAATCACGGAAGCTGCGATCAAAGTTCTTCAGTCAGCTCGTTATACGCCCTTTCCCAGTCTGATTTCAGACTGTGATGGGAACATCACTGACCTGAACAATCACCGAATTATGGTGACAGTAACTCAGCAGCTGCGAGATGGCCTCAATCAGGCGGAACGACCCTCCCCGGAGATAGCCAATGCTCTCCTGGAGACCTTCGTGGCCTCTCGCCGGGGACTTGCCAATGAGCCTCTGCAGCCGAAGCTTGGATATCCCACAGCTGAGGAGAATGGGTGGTTTCGTTTTGAGTATTCTTCACCGAGCATTCTTCCTGCAGGGGACAGCGAGGTTGCGTTCCACGGCACACACCTGGAATGTTTGCATGGGATACTGGCCACAGGCAGGCTACTACCTTCGACACCTGACCTCTCCGGCACGCGAAGCTTCGAGGCACGACCAGGTGTGTAGCTCCACAAGATGTCAAACAGGCATCTTGCTGCCGGTTACAGTTGTCTGGTGAGGATAGGACCTCGGCACATATTCGTGCGGCCCATGTTTGAGGTGGAGGCTGCGCACTCTGGATCGCAAAAACGTGGTAAGAAAACAAACCAACTGATATCCTCCTATGATGCAGTCAAAATCCGAGCGCTGCTACTGCAAATATCAACCAAGGAGACACTCACCTTAGGTGAGTACCTCCGAGAGTGGAGTGGCTTGTTGGAGATACCACTGAGACAAGCACGGGAATCCTTTTTGGCGTTGGGATACGAACTGCCTGGCGAAGCCTCGCAAGTGGAGTCAAGGAAGGAGGAGTTGCTCCCCTTCCGGTTTGTGAGCAGGCGTCCAGCTCACAGGGTGGAGTTTCTCCCCCGACCATGGCGTCAGAGATTGACCACAGCTCAACAACGCCACGTAGCTCCACTATAGTGTCCTGGGAGGGCCAACCAGGCGATCTAGGGGACTATTGCACTGCCTCTACGAAGCCGGAGACCAGCTTCTCGTTCGAAGTCTCGAAGGCTCTAGCAGCTTCGCTCCGGCACGGACATAAACCCTACATCAGAGTCACTTCAGCTGGTTGGGCCAAATTAGAGGACGTCCTGAGATGGCCAAGAGTGCAGGCCCAGCACGCCACGGCAGGCGACCTCATGGAGGTCGTTCGGAGTAACGCAAAAGGCAGGTACGAGCTGGGCGATTGCCAAGGCCAGAAGTACGTCAGGGCTCTGCAAGGACATTCTCGCTCTGATGTGGACTCCAATGAGGTGTTGGAGGAACTCACGGAGGAGATGCTCCCCAGAATGCTGTATCATGGCACATTCTGGTCCTTGTATGACTCCATACGCCAACGAGGCCTTCTGCCTCAGAACAAGATTTCCAAGGGCCGCGGCAAAGGGGGACGTGGCAGAGAGGGACGACAGCATGTTCACTTCGTCTCGGATCGGGACTATGGGAGACCTGGTGTTTCTGGATTCAGAGATAGCTCGTCGATGCTGGTGGCGGTCGATCCACGCAGAGCCATGCAGGTAGGGGTGCAATTTTTCCGTAGCAAGAACGGCGTCATTCTCACCCCCTCTGAAGTGCCCCCTTCTGTCATAGAGTACTACCAGCGCCTGAAATCAGGTACTAAGTACGGAGGCGACAACAGGCCGCTCTGATCGTGAGGACCCTCACCTAATGGTGGAGTCCCTCCCCACACTGATAATGCAGATGCTCACGCAAAAATCTATGTTATGAGGCTGAAGGTCACTTCAATTTCATCACCAGACAGCAAGTATACCCCGAGGTCGCATGTGAAGCTCCGTGCGCAGTCGTGGGCCCGGATCTGCAAGTGAGTTGTCAGCCAAACGTTTTCTGGAAGCTCTACTTGCCTTCTCGTACAGGCTCAACTCACCAGCTGTCTCGACTGTAGAAGCCATGCCTGAAACACCGAAGAAGAGTGGCAGCAGAGCGACCTCCCGAACCCCTCCTCCAGTGCGACGTCGGCCCCACCTATCCAGGTCGCCGCCAGCCAGTGACGCCATTCGGGAGCCCGACTCCGAAGACACAGCAGCCCCTAAAGCAGCCCCTAAAGCAGCTGGGCCTAAGGGCCCGCCGCCTCCGATGCCTGTTAACCTGTCAGGAAGTGGATCTAGATCGGACACCGGGCCCAGGTAAGGCACCTGGAGTGCCAGTGAAAGGTGGAGTCCCGGGAGGAGTTTCTCCCCTGGGACCACCGCCAAAGGCTGTGACCTCAACGATCTCCCATCCAGGGACAGGCGAGCTTCATGTCACCAGCACAAGTCCGGCAGGAGTTGCTCCGCCATCTACAAATAGCAACAACGGGCTGGAAATGGCGCCTGGCCTGCCTTTACTGAGTGTTTCATTGCCTCACCGCCTCTACTATAACATAGAGCTAGTGGTTCGTACCGAGCCTTCACAGCGAGGCTAGACACTCTCGCGAGACAGCAGTGTGCAAAATGGACGTCGCCAATCAGTCAGCGATACATTGCAAATCAGCCGGTTAACTACTTTATTAGTGCCAGAGTCTGCAGCTCGAGTCACTGAAGACACGTCCGATTCCGACTTCATTGCTTGCAGCCTTGAGGGGCGGAGCGTGTGCGAGTGCTGTGTTAAGGCACGGCTCGTCATGAAGTGACCGCGCAAGTAGCAAGCAGAGCAGCAGGTCGATCCCTCGCAAAGCGTGGACGTTAAGTTTCACCTCAGACAGTATCCTCCCGCTGCGTGTGAATGAAATGCGGTTGTGGCTCTCGTCGTCGTCCGTCGTCATTGTCGTTGTCGTTAGTGTTTCGTGGTGGCTGTTGTTCTTGTTGGTGTTGTTCTTGTTATTCCGCTTCGTTTTCTTGTTCTTGCGTTGCCTTTGTTATTAGTTATCAGTAGAAGTCGTAATCGCCACGGTAGTATCAGTACCATCCTGCAACCGCAAAATCTAAAATGACTCGTACTCCAGGGCGACCTTGCCCGGGCAGACACGTTGCGCAAGCCGCGGCGGCTGCCTAAAGCCGCCAACTTGGCGGTGGTGCTCGTAGGGTTACAGTAGAGATTGGGGATTTGGGTTCGGGCTAAGGTGAGAATTTAGGGAATAGCTGGCGAGAGACTGCCGTTTCAGTTGTTTTGGAGGCAATGCTGGCTGTCATCAAGTCCGGTTTCAAGAGTTGTTTGTTCTTACGATTTGGGGATCAGGAATTTGAGTCGAGGGTTTAGGGGTCATGCGAGCTCTGCACCGGCATGAACCAAACCCGAGGTCGACGGTTTCGTTTGGATGTTTGCTTAGGCTGCCTAGGCCCAAGCAACCTCGATTGAAGTGTTGTTCGCATAGAATAATTTCACAGGTCGATGGATGCCCACCGGCCATAAATTCTGCAGATTCTGCAGGGCCCCTTTATTTATTGTTGGTTTGGAGACCCGCCTAACGGCCTAACCCAGTAAAAGAAGTGAAACCAGGCCCGTGCTTTCAAAACTTGCAGAATGTCTGGGGAAAGAGACCCCATGCCTCTGACACTTAAGGTCAGGAACACCGACTCACTTCTGGCTGACCCGAAGCTTGTTGGCAGAGAGCATCTGTTCCGACACCTTGCACCACCGCTACGACTGCGACCCTCCTGCTCCCGGGTATCTCCATGTCGTCGGAGGTATCGTTCAGCTTGCCAGCATTCAAGCAGAAAGAATGCAAGCAAAGTGTAGTCTAGTAGTAGTTTTAGTGGTAGTGGTATGTAGTGTAGTGGTACTGCAGTGTATTGTAGTAGTGTAGTAGTAGTAGTAGTAGTAGTAGTAGTAGTAGTAGTAGTAGTAGTAGTAGTAGTAGTAGTAGTAGTAGTAGTAGTAGTAGTAGTAGTAGTAGTAGTAGTAGTAGTAGTAGTAGTAGTAGTAGTAGTAGTAGTAGTAGTAGTAGTAGTAGTAGTAGTAGTAGTAGTAGTGGTAGTAGTAGTAGTAGTAGTCGTTGGATTCATCATCGTCGTCGTAGTCGTAGTCGTAGTCGTAGTATCAGCAGCAGCAGGAGTAGTAGTGGTAGTAGTAGCAGGAGTCGTAGTAGTCGTCGTCGTAGTAGTCGTAGTCGTAGTGGTAGTCGCAGCAGCAGCAGGAGTAGTAGTAGTAGTAGTAGTAGTAGTAGTAGTAGTAGTAGTAGTAGTAGTAGTAGTAGTACTAGTAGTCGTAGTGTATTGGTGGTAGTAAAAGTAGTCGTCATCTCGTCGTAGTATTAGTAGAGTAGTCGTAGTAGTTGGAGTAGATGATGTCTGAGCAGTAAGTATACAGGTGGGATCAGTTCCTCCTTATCTCTTCGTGACGAGTCACTTTCGGAGTTGTTCTGAGCAACGAACGGTGAAAGGCCATGCTTCCGAAGCCGGTGGAACCTGCAGTTCCACGTGCTCGCACAGCTTGCGGCAATCTAGTGTTCTTCTCTTATGTTGTAGGATGTTGCTCGCAAAGCTGCATACATTGTGGGAGCTTGGCCCAAGTCGAAGACAGGCCAGCTGGCTGGACTTCATGCAAAGACAAGTTCGGCAACTGATTTCAGCTCACAGCCTGGCAACGGCAGCCCAACTCCCTTAAACAAACATAAGAAAGCCGCCGGCAGACACATTCTGTTTGATGCTCGGTCCCGGACCGGCTGCAAGCATGGACAATTACTAGCATGCCTCTTTGTTTTGAAGCTTTTTGAAACGTTGGATCATCTCATGGAGTCGTTGCGAGCCTCGGAGGTGCCTGCAGTGCAGTTTCGGAAGGTGTGTCAGCTAAGACACTGTCTTTTCCTGGGAGTGTCAACACGAGCATGGCAGGTTTTGTCACGATGGCATGAACTGGAGCCCGAGCTTCGAAGTGCTTTCTTTGCGATGGAGGCCAGCAGCTCTCACAGCCGGGAGAGGCTTTTGGCAAGCTAGTCGTGGCTGTTCTGCAGAGGCACGCCGACAGCAGCGGCAGGCCTATGGCAGGCCAGACGACAAGACGACGTTGAAGTGTCTGCAATGCTTCGCCTTAGAACGATCGAAGCTTTGGAACGCTCCTTGAGCGCTGGAGCTCTGACGCCAGACCAGGGACTGCAAAGTCTGGCTATGCATGCACCTGGTTGGACAGAGACACTGCCAAGCTTCAGGCACATCGCCCGCGGGGTGTGGTCTGCGATTTCTGAGGCAGGGCACATCATGGCATCTCCCGTGCATGCTCATAGGAAGTCAGTTATGGGCAAGACTAAAGACCGAAGCTGTGGCGGTGTGAGCAAAGTTTGCCACAGCAGCGAAGTTTACGCAGAGAGCGCAGGCAGAATGCGATGAAGTAACACTGGGGCAGTTGCCGTATCGTGGAGAAAAAGTTCTCTCCTCTGCCCGGCTCCAGGTGGCCATGTTCCTGGGAGCCTCGGGCGGCATTTCGAAGGAAGCGACGTGACACAGCCTTGCAGTGCTCCGCTGGCTCCGCTCCGGGGGCCCTGCGCTCCGAGGCTTCACGCTCTATGGCCTGGCAAAAGTTCGGACCCAGCTCCTGGGGCCACCGCAGAAGGCCCCGTGGCGCGGCACTGTCGGGCTTCTCTTCAAGCTGTGTTTAAAGTCTCAGCTTCCGCCTTCTGGGTCGTCTTCCGTGGGGGACCGTTTCAAGCGCTTCCTTTCGGGAGCAAATTTTCCCAACCGGGAAACCCCCCAACGCGATCGAAAAGAACACAGCCCCGAAGTTGCCGAAGCAGCTCTGCAGAACCTGCGGTACCTGGCGCTGCCCGTGGTCTTCACCGTGGGCATCACGGGCCTCTCGCTGAACAGGAGGGGCCCTTTGAGAGCAGCCTGCAAGTGGGGGCATTTTGCCTGCAGAGCGGTGTGGATGCCGAGTTGCAGGTCACTAAGTGTGCGGGATAATCTGCCGCTGCTCTGGGGCAAGACCTGGATCGCGCCGCTTAGCTGCAGGGACAACATGTCAAAAAGCATCAGAGGCTGCCGAGTCGAGTCTAGTGAATGATCCCTGGAGACGTAGTCATTCTTAGTCACAGCTATTATACTCGACCAGGTTATACCCAAAAGAGGAAGAAGGCAACAGCACCCCCGTCAATGCCTCTGCCGCGGCAAGGCTGCTGGCGGTCTGGGAGCTCTGGTTGTACGAGCCGCCATCTTCGCAATGTCCAGGCGTTCTCGAACAGAGCTGCTGTGAGTGTCCGAAGTCCACAGCCCCGATGCAAGCAGCGGGCACAGTTCGTGCCACTAGGATTCGTGCCTGATAAGAATCTCGACGATTTCCGTCCTCCTTGTCCCAGGGCAAGAAGGGGAGCCAACGAGCTTCATGACGACGCAGGAGATGGGATCCTTTCGCTCTGCTCAGCGCCACGTCTGGTGAGTGCAGTTGTAAGGGATTCTTTGTAGAGTCGCTTTGGAGACAGGAGCAGATCGTTCTTGGCGTCTTCCTGAGCTTGGAGGCGGGAGCTTCCTCAGCTTTCTGGGATGGCCAAGCAGCTTTTCCAAAGCAGTACTTGTAGCTTGTAAAAGGGCTTCGCCGCTTCTCTGCCAAAACAGTGTTGAGCACACCTCACTGGGTCTGTGAGTGCTCAAAATTGCGACCCGCCCGAAGCAGTCGCAAGAACAAACCGATTCTGCCTGTAGGCAATAACCGTGGCTGTCTGGACCGTGCAGAAGACATATCCATTCTTGGCACTCTGGCAGCAGCTCTTTTCCAGCTTTGCTCGCTCGCAGTTCTGGGCGGCCAAGGCAACCTTTTGTCGTACACCAATGGCACTGCGATTTTTTTGGCGGGTGCGACCTTCCACGTACAGGCACGGCTTGCGGCAGAATTCGGGCTCAGGGGGTCTTCGGCCTCGGCTTGTGAGTCTGCTCTGCTTGAAGCAAAAGTTGCCTTCTCGGACGCCAGGGAAGGCTACAGCTATTTGCCGAACGGCTGCTGTTGCAGCCTCCGGCGAAAGCACTTCCAGTACCACGGGGATCAGGCCGGAGGAGTTGACTTCAGCCAAGGGCGCCGCCCAAGGCAAAAACAAGTCTGGCTCCAGGCTCCCTCCTCCCGCGTTCCCTCTGACAGGACTTCAGTTCACTGCCCCATGGCCACGGCATCTGGCAGGATGACTCTTACCACGGGGAGGTGCCGAATGGATGGGGTATCTTCAGGCCGTAGGCTTGCCAAGACCTTCAACTTGCTAAAGCATTTCCTGTCCCTGTCGGTAGGCCCGGAGCTGCCTTGATGCGTATAGAGATTCTTTGCGTCTGGGAGCTGGAAGCGTTGCTCTACGGAAGCTGCGAAGTGCAAGGGCCAGGGATCTGGAGATGCTGAGTTTCTGCTCGGAGCAGGTCTACGAGGGCTCCTGGTTTCGAGGACAGCCTGTTGCCCCGTTCGTGTCGAGGCCGGGAAATCGCCCCGCGGGGTCGCTGGCGCTCGTTTCATCCTTCAGGTGCTTCGGCAGCGGCGCCATCTCCTGCGGCCTCAAAGTGGGCTATGGCACTGCGCGTGCCGAGGCGCGCCGGCCCGAGATGAGCGAAGGAGTCATTTGGGATGCCGCCCGTCCGTGTTTGATGGAGCCTTCTAATCTCAGGGCCTTGATATTGTCAGGATCGGTATAATCCTGATTAGAACGAGTCTGACCCCTCTCCAGGCCGTGATTTTGGGATCCCTCTTTCGATCCGTATAGATGATCAGATATAGTCACATTTTTGTCTGTTAGAGTATACATAATATGTCTCTGTCTCTGTGTGTTATTGTGTGTGTGCAGGAGCTCTCAGAAGTCTACCGGCTGCCGCAGCGGGTGCCCTGGCCAGACACTCTCAGGACGCCATCTCTTCAGTGAAAGCCCGCCGCAGAGAAGCTTTTCTTTTCACGAGTGCCACAAGAGACTGAAGGAACGCCGGGAGATACAGTCTTTTTTTTTTTTTTTTGCCTTCCAAGCCTTTCATCGACTCCCTGTTGTCGTTTTCAGAATGCCAAGAAGTCCGACATATCTGGCTGCGGTTGCCCGGCGCGCTTGGCCCAGGCCTTGGACGGCTGCTTCCGCTTCGGCTCCCTGGGTGTGGAATGCTCTGCCTCCGGTGCCGACCTTTGCTCTGTACCGCACGACAGGAAGACTCAGGAATACCGGATGGAACTCGTAGAATCACATTGCTCATGGAGCCTGACATATTCTCTATAAGCAAGGGTGAGCTGCAAGGAATGGGTGGTTCCTTGAGGAGAGGAAGGAGCTACATACAAACTAGAGCTAGTTCTGCGAAGGAAACGTCAGAGCCCAAGAATCTCAAGGTGCCTTCCTGGCGCACCTCCCGCAGCGGGTGGTCGGCCAGCACCAAAGCTTCGCGGACGCGTCGGGCCTGGTGCCTCGACGGCAACTCCTGCTCTTTCTGTATTGGCCGTACCCATCTGTGTCTATCTCTCTCTCTCTCTCTGTCTCTCTCTCTCTCTCTCTCTCTCTCCCTCTCTCTCTCTATCTCTATATACAGCATGGAGCAAGAGTTTTGTCGTAGTATATAGAGTATCTTCTCTCTGTTTGCCAAACCTCATTGAGCAACTCTGTCAGACTCCGAGTCGGAGAGTTCAGAGGATGTGCAGGCACACCACTTGCTGAGAGGCATGTGATGAGTTCTTTCGGGGCACCGGCCGCAGGGATCTGCATCTCTATTCTAGGGGGTTCTGGCCCTTCGTGGCGTTAGTTAGGCTCGGGTTCTCGCCCTTCGTGGCGTTAGTTAGCCTCAGGTTCTCGCCCTTCGTGGCGTTAGTTAGGCTCAGGTTCTCGCCCTTCGTGGCGTTAGTTAGGCTCAGGTTCTCGCCCTTCGTGGCGTTAGTTAGGCTCGGGTTCTCGCTCTTCGTGGCGTTAGTTATGCTCGGTCGAGTTCTCGCCCTTCGTGGCGTTAGGGTAGGGGTGTTAGGGTCGAGATTGGGGCGTTAGTTAGTTAGCTTTTGGGTGTCGGGTGTTAAGGCAGACATTGGCCTTTTTGAGAACCCGAGCCTAACGCCACGAAGGGCGACACCCCAAACCTCAACACCCGACTAGAACCCAAAACCTCAAAACCCTTATTTAAAGGCTGCACTCTGGGGCACCCGACCGTGGGTACACTTGTCATTTGTGCGTGTCATATTCTGCAGGCTCCATGCTTTAGGGAGCGCCCACCTGGGGGGAGCTGGGCAGGGGGGGTAGTCGGGCGCATACAAACCCAAGCCTCGCCTCGACAAAATTGCATCCAGGAAGAGTAGAGTTTTTGCGGGATTTGTGGGCGCGGGAAGGAAAGGGTTTGACCCTGAGCGTGGAAGGTGAGCAAGGGGAGGCGCGTGCAAGGAGAGCCGCGAGGGCCAAGCAGAGGGGGGGGGGGAGCTCGGCTGGGAACAACTGCTGGGGAGGGGTTGGGCAGAGGGCTTCACTGGGCACTCGCCCCCATAGCTTGGGTCGGCGGATACACCCAGGAAGACGACTCTGTCGAAAGCTGGCAAGTCTCGGCTGTCGACCGAGCAGCAGGTCCTCTGCCATTGATCTGCGCGAGCCTGGTAGTCGCGAAGCAACATTGGGACGGATCTGCTGCAGAAACTGTGGAAGCAAGCGGCCGGAGCATGATGTACGATCTGGGACCTAGGAGGGTGACAGCAAGACCTCAACAGAAGCACACATCATTGAATCATCAGCACACGACGCCGCTGCGAAGTTGGAAACTGAAGCCTTAGCCATGCGGTCTGGATCAGGTGCAGCTCTGAGGGTTCCACCAGTGCTCTGATGTGCGAAGCCTCCGTCCGATCTATTTTATCTTACTTACGCAAGAACTGCGAAGAGGGACTTCTTCTAAGGTCGTCGACCTGCGGGCGTCCGTGCCGCGGCCACGGCTTTCCGACCTGGACCTCGTAGCCCCAGGCCCCCGCTTCAGGGTCTGGCCTTGCCGGCAGTTTCGCGTCTGAGGAGGGGAGCTTTCTGTTTTGACGCAGCCAGCGTTTTGGGGCACGCCTCCGCCGCAGGCGATGATGCCCGCTCGGCAGCAGCATCCTTCTGCTCCTTGGCTCTGCAGGGGTCACTGGGGGATGCCTGCTCCTTCTGAGGGAATCTGGCATGGTGGCCGACGCAGGCTCTGACGCCGGCGACTCGCAGACGGCCTTCGTGTTCGTCCACGGTTACAACTGCCCGACAGCCGCTGGGCACTGGTTGCGATGGGGTTGTACAGGGCACTTCATGCCGGCGCCGGTCGTAGTTGTATTTCCTGTTGACGGCACTACCGAGTAGCTAATCCGTTGCTTGCAGCATTGAAGAGTAGTTTTGCTCGTGGCAGTGATATGATGATGATGAAGAAGAAGATGATGATGATGATGTTTATTCTGATGATGATGATGATGATGATGACATGATTGTGTTGTTGTTGGCAGTAGTGGTGGCGGGGATGGAGAAGTCTATAAGTCTGAAAAGGAAGATGCTCTGGTGAGATTGAGCATCGCCCGGTGCCGTTGAGGTGTCGATGCACTGAAGTAACATGTAGCTGCTTGGTGTGACGAAACGGACGCGAGTTGCTCTTTTCAGGACTGGGCGTGTCTCCGGCTTGGCCAGCTGATGACTCTGGGCAACGCAGATGTATTTCGGGGCACAAGCAGAGGGGATTTCTTGTAATGAGCGCTGCCCTACCTCTTGTAATGAGGGCTGCTCTACCTCGAAGCTCCCACTTGGGCGTTGGACCAGGGAGCTGGGCTTAGGCGGATCCGATGCCCAGGCAAGTTCAGCTCGAGGTTCCTGCCCTTCGTCTTCTCCTGGCCCACAGGCCTCGAACTTAGAGCCGCTCTCAAGTGCAGGGCTCTGGGGATCACAGGTGACAAACTTCGCCAAGCAAGCTCCTGGCGGCTCCTAGCGATTCTAGCGAGAAGAAGGTTCAGGAGCATCAATCCCAGGCGTAACAAGTTTCGTTGGTGTGCTGGGTCAGACTTTGTAAGTGGTCTCATGTCATCAGCCACGTTGGGAGAGGTTTCGTCTCTCCATGTTGGAACGGGCTGTGTTTTTAATTCGGCATGTGTGCAACAAAAAGACCTAGCCCGAGCTGTTGGAACCACTGAGGCACCATTGCCTCCTTTTTCCATGTCCGCCGGCACCTGGACTGGGATTGACGAAAAAAAGCAGCCAAAAGAGCCCCGTGCAGAGTACTTCGGATGCTTCAGAGAGATCACCGGCTCCTGTGCAGAGACAGCATCCGTCCTGGTTTGGAGGACCAGTTTGCGCCGGACCTGGCGGAGTTCTTGCACAGGCCTTGCAGGGCGGAAGACTCGGAGTTGCGTCCGGTGCGCTGGACTTCTGGAGACTTTGGGGTTGCGTCCCCACGCAGGGAGCCGCCACTCGGAGCTCCAGCGGCCCCAAGGTGTATGATGCTAGCTGCTGGCAGGGGACCGTCCGGAACAAAGCCGAACGAAGGCCACAGATTCTCACAAAATTCAGTCCACAAGCTCCTTGGAATGGAACAGGCATTCAAGAAGTAAGATGCATATCATCCAAGCTCGAATTTTGGCCGATGCCCGAAGCAACATCGACACAAGCTCTCAAACTTGAACCTGACACAAGGCCCTGAAGCCTAAACTCGGTTAACCCCTGAAAGCTACGCGGCCACCTAGCTCCGCCAGGCTGCACGAAAGCGGCATCCAGGACGGCCAGCGCATTCAGAGATGTGCCCCCAACCAAGCCTTGAGTCTGGGGCAGAGGAGGTTCCAGTGGCCCCGTAGCACGCAATTTGAAATTTGGGGACTTGGGCAGCCCAGGGCGTCTCGCATGCGTGCTGAGATGCCACCGCTCATCATATGGGTGGTTGTCAAAATTATGATCCCTTTTTGAGTCCCTAATATAGTACGGCACCTAATATTTAGAGTACCCAAACAGGGACCATAATTTTGACAATCACCCATCTGGAGCGGCTGTGGGCCTGCAACTCGAAACTCCTCCACCTTCCGCTCGTCTGCTTTTGAGGAGTTCCATTTGATGGCTCATTCCATGGGCTGCGAGCTGGTCTGTGCGGCGCTGGAGCTTCGGAGCAATTAGATCGGCGGTGCCACGATGCTTCGGGCTTGAAGCTGTCAGATTCTGGCTAGGATCGTTCATGTGCAGTTCACACAACAATAGACCCCAAAGCCTAAACCCCAAGTCCCAACGCTCGAAACATAAGCAACAAATTCATGAACGTTCTCACAGTTCTGAGACGAACTGCGATCTCCATAATCTGCGACCAGCCAGCGCCCCTTGCTCCGAGGACCACCTGGAACAGCTACCCGCACGAGGGCGCGCTCCTTTGAGAGTCTGCTGCGGAATAGGACATGTTGGCGAATTCGAACACACATGGCCAGCAGATGCTTCCAGGCGCCCGGCAACCACCGGAGGCCCAGGGCCCAGGGAGAAGAGCAGGGGCGGGATACTACGCACCAGTACGTATGTGGCCAGAGCAGGGAAAGCGACGCTGCTCTCTTTGTGCCTTGCGATGGCAGGGACGGACGAGCTTCCACGCGCGAAAATCGCGACGATCTCGTTCTGCGGCTCGGCTCCTGCGCAGACCGGTGCCACATCACAGAACAGAACATCATTGGTGAGGATTCAGACTTAAAGTTCAAAGCATCGTCGTCCTAGGCTTTGGCGTGCCTATGAACATGCGGTGTCGTTTGGCTGCTTGAGGCAACCCATCTTGCCCTCTGAACGCATTCCTGGAGGCGCAGATGCAGACTGTACCTAGAAGCGGGCCCTGAAACGGCCTCAGAAAGCTCAGAGTTTCTGCTCCAGGGCTCGCCCTCGAGCCTCGCCCGGCTCGCCGCGCTCTGCCAGCGGCTGACTTTCTACGTGGACAGGGAGGTCTCGGGGCAGAAGCTTAGCGGAGTAGCTTCCTTCGCAGAGAGAGGCACATCAAAACGAGGGTTCGGGCATCTCGGAGAAGTTGCAGAAGCTTTCGGCGCTGCTTTGGTGCCGAGCCGCCAGGACACGGCACTCTGGGCGGGCGAGGCCCCTGCAGAGCCGTCTCCCTTTCGGATCGGGTTTGTATTTCTGGAAGTTAAAGGTCCCATTCAAGGGATATTTGAACGAAGGATCCCGAGTCTATGTCAGGATGCTTTATGCTGAACCTGACAATTCCTGGCTCAGATCTCCTGCAAGCTCGCACACAATGAACTCGTACATCTAGCGGCCCTATAGACTCGAAGGCCCAGAAGCCCCGACCCAAAAACCCCTGAATTAAACTCCAAATCCCTGAATACCTGAATCCCGAAACCTTCTTGTGGACAGTCTTTGAACCCCTCAAGTTAGAAGCTCCAAAGAGTGCTCTGCGATGGCGTCTTCAGGTCCTTGGCGGCCGCGGCCGAGCGCTTGGCCGATTCGCAGAGCCGCTGCCCAGCACCTACGACGCTCGGTCCGGTCGGGGGGCAAGGAACCCTTTGGTGCAGGCGCCTAGAAACTTGCCAGGTCCTAGGTTTTTCATCATGCCTTTCCCTCCATCTCGCTCTCGCTCTCGCTCTGTCGCTATCTCTGTGTCTGTGTTGCTTCTTGTGTAAAATGCTCCGAAGGAGTCCACTGCATCGACTCCTCTCCTCCCCCCCTTGGCGCTCGCGTGTGCGTGTGGAGCTCCTGGCCTGTCACGCCAGGGGCAAAGCACGCGACGTAGGAAGTACCATATTTTGGGGTCCTTATAATAAGGATCCTATTATTTAGGGTACTATATTAGGCTCCCCTATTTTCGGAAACTCCCAGGAAGTAGTCCTGGCCGAGAGGTGCCGGTTACAGAAGCGGGTCGGTGTTTGGGGTTTAGACTGAGAAGAGGAAGATATCCCTATGGGGTGGGCGACTTGAGCTTGCTACTGGCTGCCTCTTCGACCATGCCAGACTGCACGACCAGACTTCCGAAAAGCAACAAGGCCACCGCAACGCCCAAAAAGGTGTGTTGGGATTCCTGACAGGAGAACAGGGGCGGGGCCCTGCGTTGCTTTTATCAAAGGGTCAACGCCCATGAAGCCCCCAAGGACAGCTCCCTCACGCCGAAGATCGACGTGGTGGACTGCACATCTATGGATGCCAACGTCAACGGCATTCGACATAGCTGCTCGGAGTGGAATCTTATGCAGGTCCCCTATCTTAAGCCGCACAACCGCTGCAGGAACCTCTCTAAACTCCCATATAGACCTCCTCTTGCAAGCCCCCGCCTATACTCTGATACTTCTGCAAACTCTGTCCCCCTTCGGTTCGAGGCTATTTCGACCTCAATGCCTACCTCGTCTCCGACCTCCACGAGTTGGTCTCCAAAGGCACCCCCGCCGCCCGGAGGAGCCGCCGGGGCCTCGGCCGGCTTTGCTTTGGGAGCGCTGCTACTTGTTGTTGTTATGGTCCTGTGCTACGATGAGGATGATGATGGGGATGATGATTCGTCAGTTATAACTTGGATTGTTAGGATTCTTAACATTGTCATTGTTGTCATCATTATCATGATTTCTGTTACAACAATTGTTGCTGTTGTTGCTCTTCTTCTGGTTGGAAGGCTTCGGGACATGCATTACAAGGAAGCCTCCGGCACAACTGCAGGTCTCGTGCGGACCTCCGTGAGCCGCGGGCTGAGGAGACGCAGTCGGCTCCAGAGGGTCAGCGAGCCTCTGCAGCCGCGTGTCGAGTCAACTTGCACCGACGTGTACTGTAGCATGTCCAGACATGCCATCCAGAAATGACTCTTAAATCTGACGAAGTTGATTGGATGCAGCTAGCTCCACGAGCTCCAGGCTCCCGCAGCAACGTCTTCTCCTTCCTGGCACCACCAGTCTTTGTGAACTGGTGAGAGCTGGTGGCAGCAGGGACGGGTTCTACAGCTTGAGAGTTGAGGTGTTTCGGAGAATTGTGACAGGTGATGAACTTCAAGAACTCCTGCTCCAGTTCTTAGTCCTGGCGTTTTCCTCCTGAGCCTACCTGGGGCTCGGCTGGTTCACGGGGCACCTGTGACATCGCGCGAAGGTTTGGACGACATGTTGGATTGCAAACGGAGTGGTTTCGGGGTAGAGATTCTCGGTCGCTCCAAAAGCACGCTTCAGCACCGATGAGGCGCCGTGAGGTCCCTGGAATGTCTGGGCACATTTTTTTGCTTCAGTTTGCCAAAGGCTGCAAGCTCCTCTTGTCGTGCATCCAGAGGCTACCCTGCCCGCTTGAGCAGGACCATGGAGAAATTGGGAGCTGCCCTCTCCTTTGGCTTGACTGGTCTGCTACTATACATGGGTTGCATGATCACGCTCCTAATTAAGCACAGGTGTTCTGGTGCTTTGTCCGAGAGCTACAAACAGACTTATCGGCAATTGCTCATGAACTCTTGAAGTGGAAGCCGCCATGCAAGTCCCTACGACACCTGCAAAGATCCAAAGTTGCAGTCCCACCCTGTTGGCCTTCATGACGGCGGCGCCACGCTTGAGAATCCGCCGGCATGAAGCGGCCGCCTCGACATGGCCTCAGAGCACAGGAGAGATTTGGGTGCAAGCTCTGGGTATCTCCAGCCAGAGTTTTGGACCTGTTCGGCGGTTGAAGTGTTGGTACGGGGCAGGCCAGGAAGCTAGGGTTCATGGAACGAGAAAGCAGGTAGCAAGGCTGAGCAGACTGAGCAGTGTGTCCTGAATCTTGAACGCGCTGGCGTGCCTCGATGAGAGCAGATTTGCCACATCGATCCGACCGAGGAAACCGCAGCTGCACGCCGGCGGTGGTACGGGGCTTGCCTCTGCTTGGTCGGGCTTTCGTCTCAGAGAGTTTCTTCGAGTCGAAGCACGAGATGTACACGAAAGCCATCAAGGCGCCTCTGCGTCAACTCGATTTGTTCTAACTTCTTCGCCCACAACCGAAAACTGCGCCTGCTTTTTTCCCCTTCTGTGAGGCCTGGCACGTTTGCACCGAGACCTTCAGCGGAGGCTTCTGGGAGTTTCGTTTGGGGTCCCGGGACTGGCCGGAGCTCGCAGAGCTCTCGGAGCTTTCGGAGCGGACGGAGCGCTCTGGTCCTGGGCTGCATTTCTTCATGTGTGTTCCGAGCCCGGAGAGCCCAGAAAAGGCCGCGCTGTTCACGGGGCAAACGGAGATGATGGCTATGGCTCCACCGAGTCGTGCATGTGCTAGCAATCTCTCGATCTTGCTGAAAGAAGCTGTGCCGGTGACCTTGGACCACGGCCTTCGTCTCAATGGGAAGCTTCTGGGAACTCGAAGCTCGCCCCGGAGGGCTCGCTTTGCGTTGGGTGGAATAGATCAGGATGTTCTCAACGACATGCTTGCATCCCTGCAGACGCGGGCGGTGCGGCGAGAAAGAGTGTGGCGACGTCCAAAGCTCCGGGCGGCTGTTTGCATCGCGGGCCTTGCCCGGAGCTTCCACTTGCCTCGGGTGCACAATTCCATCGCGAATGCCACCAGGAGCCTGAAAGCGGAGACTCAGATTTTCTACGTGCTGGACCTGCAGGGGCGGCCTTTGGAAGAGTTCGATCGAGGCTTCACGGCCTTGCCTCCGGACGGCATGGTAGTTTACGATGAGGTGCGCGGAACTGGTTTGAGGCTGCCGCAGTGTCACTGGGCGACGCCATTTCATGCCAACAAGCAGTTTGAGAAGTTTCGCAGCTGCTACCATCTCATCAGGGCGGCCGAGAAGGCACAGCGCAGGCGCTTCGACTGGGTGGTGCGCTTGCGGCCAGACTTCGAGTGGCTGGCGCCTATTGGCAATTTGAGGGGGTTTTCTGCGAAGAAGGTGCACATCGTGCTGCACTGGAGCACTCCATGGAGCTTCTTCGACACCACGGACTTCTTCGCTTTGGTCCCTCGGGAGCACTTCTGGGCCTACTTTGGCATCGGCTGTCCCTCGCAGCGGTCCCTGCGAGCCGCAAAGACTGAGGACTTCTGCTTCAACCTTTGGTGCAATGCAACGAAGGCTGGGGCAAAGGCCCGATGGGACACCTGCGTTGCACATCCCGAGTGCGTGCTTCAGCTGCGCTTCCGGGAGCGGCGAATTTCTGTGGAGCCCTTTCCGCCGGTCATGCAAGTGGTGCGCGAGCCGCAGGGGCGATGCCGCGCGGGCGATCAAAAATGCCTGACCGGATGGCAGAAGATGACACACTGGCCTTTCGAGACTTTCTGAACAAGAAGAGGTCGAAAGAGGCGAGCAAAGAAGGAGGTGCAGTGATGACCACAGACCGACTGCACGGCGCGGCACCGTGACCAGAGCTTGCCGCGAGACTCGGCGCAGTCCCGTTTTGGCGTACTTGTCGTTTTGGGCTCCCTGGTGACATGCGACAAAACAGTTCTCTTGGCCCAGGCCCTTGCTGCACAACCTTCAAAGCTTTGCAAGACCTCATGCAGTGGCACTGGGATCACTCGCATCATCAGCAGCTCTCGCTTCCCCGAGCCCGAAAGCCTCGGCACACAAGCCTTCAACGGCTTCAGAAAGGTTGACGTGAGCTTGTGAATTGCACCGGAAAGCGGTTTTGGGTGTCCGAGGGTGTTGGGGCCGGGGGTGTTTGCAGAGCCTAATGTGACGGGCTTCGGAGTAAGGCTTATGAAGATGGAACAGGACACTTCAGGTCCGGAGGAAGTAAGAAAATCATGCCGGGCAGCTGCTGCAGCATCTTCAGAGAGCCCTGTTTGAGCTAAAGGGTTTTCGTAGTACTACACATACGCCCGGTGGCATGCTTCGGACAATTTAGCGCACAGCCGGCTTCAGCTAGTCCGACCTCAGCTCAGAGGACGCGCGCATGCAAGTGTGCTCCTCCGCAGATTCTCTTTGGCTCAGACGCCACAAGGGATCGAGACAGGAAGACGAGGCCCCAACGAGACAATGTTCGGGCTTCCGCAAGGCACCTGATTCTGTGATGCGCTGTCCCTGCAGTTTAGTGAGTCTACTGGTAATCTGATGCAGTCGTACTAGTCTAGTATAACCCAGTACTACCTAAGAACACACTGCTTGCCATTCAGCCCTTTTCCAGCCTGCGTCAGTCTGCAGTTTGCCACATGAGTCAGAGAGCCCAAGTCCAGTGCAGGATGGAATGCACAATGGGAGCCCTCCACGGGCACTGTTTCCTTTCACAACTACGTGACCGGCGAGGCTCTGGGGCATGGCAGACCGGGATGCAGAGAAAGCCGTCAACCCCTACGACCCTACGATTTCCACTCATCGCCGTACGACGGTCCCGTGGCCCAGACCCCTTCTAGTTTCGGGGCAGGTCACCTTTACAAATCCTGCTGATGGCGCCGCCGCGCAGCCGACGCAGGATATCTGCAGAATTAAGAGCTTCGACTGAGCATTCAGGGCTCATCTATGATTGGGTATGCAGCGGGATGCTCAGCTGAATTGGTGCTTCGGTGCCCATGTCTCAGAAGCATGCCATGTAGACTTCCAGCTCTGTCGTTTGCGTTGAACATGAACCTATTTTCCCATCCACAGCATTAGCCTCAACATCGTGATCCTCACCTTTTCCTTTTTTCTCTGTCGCTGTCACAGGATGTGAAGCCTCCCGACGGATCTGCCGAGGAGGCTCCACTCGGTGTCCAAAGTGCGGGTATGCTCGTCTACACAAAGAAGCCCTTGAATCCCTTGGCATTCCAATTCGCATAATCAGACAAGAACGCTCGCTTAGTGATACGAAGGTCCTGTCCTTGGCACAGCTGTGTGACATCCGCAGCCGCTTGGCTGCATCAGGTTGGCCTAGTAGGTTCTAGCTGCGTCCACACGACCCTCTGGAAAGCCGCAGTCATCGTTTGCCCGTGCTGAATACGTCCTTGCCTCTAACCGAACCGCTTGCTTGTGTCCGTGAGGGTGTTCACGTGAAGTATGGGGCCTGATGCAGTGCTGAAAAGCTCTTTGTCGTGTTGAAGAGCTTCGTTAGTTCCACTCAGTCAGCAGCACACTCGCAGAAGCAGAGATTGGTTGAACAGAGACATGTGAGGATAAAGGTTCCGCAGTGCTCTTTTGCCTGTGTGTGATTTGGTTAAAGGTTCTGCACTCTCTTGCCTGTGTTGTGGATTAAAAGTCATCGCTGCAGATCGCCTTGCGGAGCTCCTGGAGGAAAAGGATGAGGCAGGCTCGCTTGATCTTGAATTTGTGGGTGCAGCAGATTCGTTTTCTGTGCCGCAGCAGGACTGCGCGTCGTAGAAGTAATGGTTAGTGAGTGAGGGGGTGTGAAAAGGCTTCGGGTGGCTCAAGTTGTGGCTCAAACTGGCGAGTGGACGCTTTGTTGCCGACGTGGCACAGCCTTGAGTCCTACTTTCTAGAGGTCCCGACCAGTCCCCAAACCAACCGTGTACGTTTCGTAGGCCAGATAGCTGGCAAGGGTTGGGGCGGGCGGCCGGTAGGTTGTGCACGCGCGCTCGCTGAGCCGCAGCTTGGAACGCCCGGGCGAGACCTGTCACTGTCTCACGCTCACTCCCTCGCCGTCGTGGGCCTGCACAGTTGCTCCCATCGGCTTGAGGCTTGTGTTTGTGTGGCCTGCTTAGTCCCTCGCCTCGGGCTGAGGTTTCCCTCGCCATTTTGGCAGAGGTATGCCTCACCGTGCCTACCACGTTTGCAAGCGCTGCCAGAAAGCCTGGGTGTGGGTCGACGAGCTTTGGAAACACCCCACCTGTCCGGCCTGCCAGGCTCGGTTCCCGAAGGCTCCAAGCCCAGGTAGTGGTTCCTCCACACCGACCCAGTCACCCACCAGGAACCCTCGCAAGCGCGCTCCCCGCTCACGTAGGCAGGTCACTTTCGACGACGAGGCTGAGGTTGGCGACTTCTTCCCAGACGCCACGCCCACTCCTCGCCCAACGAAGGCCCAGGATGACCGCTCCAAGCGCAACACCCGCATCCTTAAGTCCCTTCGGAAGGTGTGGGCTGATCTCCCGGATGAGGCCAGGACCCAGCTCAGCGATGCTGGTTTTGAGGCCCCTCAGACCTCTGATGTTGATATGGAGCCAGACCTCCTTGCCTTACTCCAGAACAACGTGGAGCGGCTCCCGGAGTGCATCCGCCAGGCTTTGCCTCCACCCCCTCCTGAGCCCACCCCCGACCCTCTCAAGGAAGGTCGTGAGTCGGGTAATGCTCTCCGTCGTTCCATCTTGAAGCTCAAGCAGTTGGGACAGGAGAAGCTCAGGCTCCAGGAGGAGATCAACAAGACCAAGACCAAGCTCCATGACCTTCTCCGCGGCATGCAGGAGCTTCAGGAGGCCATCTCTGAGGCAACCGATGTGGCCAGGAAGTGCTCTGACACCTATGAGAGAGGAGTCCTTCTACACGTCCCCAAGAGTGAGGTAGACTTAGTTCTTGAAGCCTTGGGGCTCTCTCCCGAGGCCCTCACGGAGGACCACAAGGCCAACCTCAATGCCCTTCGAGCCTCGATAAAGCCACCTCCGGACATGCAAGCTCCCCCTGGCCTCGGACCTACGCCTTTTAAGTTCGGCTCCCCTCCTCCCCCGGCAGGTGATGGACAGGCCAATGGTGATCTTACCGAGGAGGCCCAGGACGGATCTGCCGAGAACCCTGGGGCTCGCCAGGTCGGCCTTACCACCCCGACGAAGACCCGGAGCCGCTCACCTTCCCTGACGCTGCCAAGGCGACTGGTTCGTAGGAGGATGGTAGGGGTCCGGGGGCGGATTTTTGGGGGCCTCTTGGTCCACTCTCGCTTCCCTTTGGCCCCAGCTTTCCCGCCCTTGACCCCGCACCCTCCCTCCTTCAGGTTCCCTCCCGCATACCTCCTCCCCTCGGCTTAGCCGTTTTGGAGCCTGAGGTTTTGGGCAGGTCCTTTTCCACTCCGCCGTCGGGCCAACTGCCCGTGGCTCAACTCCTTCCGAGCGAGGGGTACTGGCACACCTCTTTCTTTGAGGAGCCATCGGCCTCCTCCTCGGTTTTTAACTTCACTCTTGACGGCCCAGGTTCGTCGTTCCTCCCTCGGCCGGCTCTACCTCCTCCTCCCCTGAGTGGGTAGAGGTTCCACGCTCTTCTCGACGGCAGCCCCGGATTCTTTCTCTTGAGTCCTTGGTGGCGCCTCCCTCTCTTCTCACAGGGCCGGTTTACTTCCCACAGGCTTTCGCCTCGGACCCCAGCCCTGCCTCGACCTGGTGCCCTAATTTGGTCCAGCCCTCCGGCCCATCGAGCCGTCGAGGTGCCAGGCGTGACAGACGGTCCAAGCACCGTCGCCACCGGCTCCACAAGCCGGGCCTTTTCACCCAGCTCCAGGTCGAGATGTGCGACCAGGCCCTGAATCCTGCCTCCTCGGTTGAGCGCGACCTTGTTGAGTTCGCTTCTAAGGTCGAGGATGCTATTTCGCCGGGTTCTTCCGAGGAGTGGTTTTTGGAACATGCCCTTGATGCCATCCATGATGACACACCCTCCCCCGCAAAGTGGCACCTCCTCAAGCAAATGGCTCAGGTTCTCTCGCTGCAACATAATACTCCCCACAGCCCCGCTTCCTTCAGGCTCCTGTCTGCCAATGTTACTCACTGGAGGCCAGAGGTTCGGGATTGGGCCTTCTCTCTGGAAGGCCATGGGGTTCTGCTTCAGGAGCTTCACCTCACCACGGAGGCTGCTCATGAGGCTGCGATTGCCGCCTCTAAAAGAGGGTTCCGTCTCTTTTCCTCGCCTCCCTTCCTGAGTGATAAGAGGCGCCCCTTGGGAGGTTTCGGTGTCCTCATCCGCTCCTTCCTTAACCCTCGTCATGTCCTCACCCACACCGTTGAGGGTTGTGGTTTCCTGGCGGTTTCGCTTCGGTGTTCCGGTTTCGAACTGACCCTGGTTTCCATTTACCTCCAGTCCGGTACTGGCTTTAACTCTCCGGTCAACGCCGATGTCCTAGCTCGCCTCTTAGCCTTTCTTCCTTCCCTCCGGGGTGTGTGGATTGTCGCCGGTGACTGGAACAACCCCATACAAGATCTCCTCGCCACACGGCTTGAGGAAGTTTCCCATGGGCGTTTCCTGGGTTCCGGTTCACCCGCCGCTGCAACCGACCGGGAAATTGACTACTTCCTTGTCTCGTCTCCGGCTGTTGCTTCCTTGCAAGTTGCTCAGGACTGGGTCGTCCCCTTCAAGCCTCACTGCGCTCTGCGGGCCACTCTTCAGCTCAGCTCTCTGCAGCTTCCCTACCCGCAACTCGCTACCTTTTGTGAGGTCTTTCCCGACCCTTTGCCCTTTCAACCCTCGGTCCCGAGCCCCTCGCCTGTCGCTGAGGTTAATCTTCTTGGCCTCACTTCCACCGACAAGCTCACTCTCGACTTCGCCGAGCTGAGCTCTTTCCTTGAGGTCTCTCACGGGTTCCCCGACCGAGGGCGTGGGGCTTTCGTCCCCCTTCTTCACAAGCCCCTCGTCCAGGGCCACTCTGTCACCTTTGCCTGGAAAGGCCAGCTCCCCTCCTTGGTGTCAGCCGTGCTTCACCTGCTCGACCGGCCCGAAGCTGTGCAGTCCTTCTTGTGGTCCACTTCGGACACTTCCCTCCCCTCGGAGGTCCGCGCCTTTTGTGACCGGGTGCGCGACGGCTCCGCTTCTTCCGCCACCCTCCGCGCCGAAGGCACCGCCCTCCTTGGCCAACTCCGGCGCGAGCAAACTGCCCAGCAAGCTGACCAGTACGGCGAGTGGCTTGAGGAAGCTTCGGGTTCACACCTGGGGCCGCTCTTTCGTGCCATCAAGTCCCATGAGCAGGTGCTTGACCGGCCCTTTCAAGACTGCGATGGACTCCGCCGTGTCTTTGAGAGGCACGAGCATTGGGGCCGCGTCAGGCATGCCTCGGTCTTCCCCCAGCACTTTTCTCACCCTCTCCTCGCGGAGCTCCGCTCGAGGGCCGTCTCCCATGCTGGCACCCTGGCTCCCTTGACTGTTGAAACCTTCTGGAGTGGCTCAGACATGGTAAGTTTGGAAAGCGAGGGTGCGAGGGGGCAGCCCTGGGGTACGCCCCGGCCAGGAAAGAGCGGCGTGGCAGCGATCGAGTCGGCCACGAGACAGCGAGGACCCTGGTAGACCTGGAGGGCGAACCAGAGGTGAAGAGGAGGGAAACTGTGAGCGAGCCCTTGGAGGAGAAGGCGCTCATAGCTCACAGAGTCGAAGAAACCTCGCAAGTCGAGGAAGAGACTCACGATGTGAGTCTTCTCGAGCTTTGAATGCTCTGACCTGACAAGGCGGGCCAACTGGCCTGGCCCGGAACCGCCCGGTCCCACGGGTGGGCGGGGGCGTAAGCCGACGTCCATGCCGCGACGTCCTTCCACCTGGCTCGGGCCCACAGTCTCCACAGACAGGGGAGGAGACTGATGGGGCGCTCCTTGTCGGCCGACTTCGGGAGAAGAGCGACCTGAACACAGGTGAGCTGGAAGGGCAGAAGGACCTCAGCCTCAGCACGGGCGAGGAAGTCGGCTACGCCGCCGGGTCCAGTGCACGGAGGGCTGGGTAGCTCCATCCGTCTGGGCCCCTTTCTTTTTCCCGGCTTTCTTGAGAAGTGTGGTGGGTTCTGACCCTGTCGAGGTCGCTTCCGCAGCGCTTCAGGCCTACCGGGTTCTTCACGCCTCCCTCGGCCTTGAGGGCCTAGAGGTTGAGACCACAAAGACCAAGTTCGTTGCCGGTACGGTCCGCGCTCGCGCCGCGCTTCAGCAGCTGCGACGCCCGGGCGAACCCGACACCGCTGACCTTGTCAAGGACCTAGGTCTTGACTGCGCTGCAGGCCGGCGGCGGCGCATCACCACCGCCCAAAAGCGCTTTCGCACAGGCATCGGTCGTGTCCGCCACATGCGCCGCCTCCGCATCCGCCGCAGGTGGGTTCGTGGCCGGCTGCTCCAAGCCTCCGCCCTCAAGGCTGGTCTTTATGGCCACCAGGCCGTTGGGGTTGCCCCTAAGCGCCTCAAGGTTTTACGCTCGGCGGTTGCGCGCGAAGCTGGCCGTTTTGAGCACGGCTCCGCCGACGTGATTCTCGATCTCATGTCCCACAAGGCCGTTGACCCACACCAGCTTGTGGTAGTGGAACAGCTTCAGGCTCTTGGGCGACTTGCCTCCAGCGCCTCACCCGAAGGCGTGCGGTTACTCACCCGCACTTGGGCCTTTTCACTTCCGCTTCCGCGAGCCAGGAGCGGTTTTTGAGGCCTCCGCTTTCCTTCGCCAGGTCATTCAGCTCGCGCGCTGGTCTCGTATTGGCGCCGTCTCCACTGCCGCTGGTGCCGCCCTTGGCATCGATTGGACCGTGCCGCGCCGCCTCTTAGCCAGTTCTCGGACGAAGCCCTGGCGGCACGGCCTTAGGGCCGTCTTTCAAGGCGCCCTCCTCCACTCGGGCAACGGAGGGAAGGAACGGTGCAAGTTCTGTGGTGAACCCAACACTCTGCACCACCTCCTCTACGAGTGTGAGAAAGTCCCAGGCGCACTTATGCCCGCAGGCTGGCTGTTGTCTTATAAAAGGCGCCACCCTGCCGAGTGCCTCTGGTTGCGCGGGATGCGGCCCCTCAACACCCGCGATCCCCTCGCCCACGAGGCTGAGGTCCGCCGCACTGGTCTCTTCCTCGAAGGTACCCCGGACTTAACTGGGCTTTTCGTTGCTACCGACGCTTCCGGTGGCCCTGCCACCAAAGACAGTCGCCTCCGCTCGGTCGGTTGGGCCGTCATAGTCGCTAGCAGGCACGATGGCGACTTCTCTGTCCTTGGCACCCTGTCGGGGCTTTTGCCGGCCCCCGCCTCCGTCCCGGAAGGCGAGAGTGAGGCTATCTCGAGGCACCTTCGACCTCACCTGTGACTGCCAGCCTGCTCTCCGGAGCCTACAAGGCCCCTTTACCAAGCGCACCTCGCTTGTGTGGTCTAAGGCGTGGGACCAAAGGCACAGAGCCGAGCCCCACTGGGTCCGCTCCCACCTCAACTCCTCGGACTTTTGTCTTGAGTTCGGCGCTGATGCCTTGTGGCGCCGCGAGCTCAACTCCCTGGCAGATAAGCTCGCTAAAGACCGCGCTGAGGAAGTCCAGACTCCTCACCGCCTTGCCGCCCAAAAGGAGGTTGACCGGGTCACCTCCCTCGTCTGCGAGTACTTGGGCCGTCGCGCCGCTGCAATTCTTGCCAAGGCCGAGAAAGAAGACTTTGTCCCGCGGAAGAATCGCCTTCTCTCCGCCCTTGAGTCTTCCGCTTCTCCCTCGCCCAACAAGAGGCAGAGGTTGCAAGCTCTTCTCGACGAGCCCCTTCTTCCAGGCGGGCACGTCTGGACCCAAACCTCAAAAGAAAAGAGCTTTAACCTGTGTGTTAAGTGTTCTGAGTGCTCCTTGTGCATTTACCAGGTTGACACACCGGAAACCTTTGAGCGCCTCATTTCCTTCCCGTGCCGAACGGCTGCGGTTTCGTGCCCTTTTGCTGCCCACCCCTCGCACTCCCTCGTGCGTCAGGGGCCGTCCTGGAAGTGCAGCCAATGCCACGGTCCGTGACCCTGCGAATGGGCGCCGCGCCCTGTGCGCTTCCTTCGGTGCGGGGGTTCTTTTCTAAAGGTTCCTCCCCTTCTGGGCCCCAGGGTTCCCCTCCTGCCTCTGCTGCTGCCCCGGTGGTTCCCCCTGTGCCTTGCTCTTGGGGTTCCCCTCAGGGTTCTGCGCCTGCTACTGCCCTCACTTCGGTTGAGGTCCTAGCACCCAAGGCTTCCTCTCCCCTCGAAGGCTCTGGGTCCCCTTCGGAGGTTTCTCAGGCCCAGGCTTCCTCAAGCCTTGGTTCGTCACGTGAGGCCCCGGCTTCCAGGTCCTGCTCCCAAAAGCACCCCTGCCTCCAAGCCTAAACCAAAGCCCCGGCCCAAGCCTAAGCCCAAGCCTCCCCCTCCCTGTCCTTCAGTCACCAAGTTCTTCCGCTAGCTTCGGCTCAAGGAGGGCACCATGGCGCCCAAGGGCAAGGGCCGCCACGCTCGCGAGCAACAGGAGCGATGGGACCAGACAGGGATCTGGCACAGCACAAGCTCCCTGTCCAGACGCAAGTTGCGTCCGGACAAGGCAGCACGCGCTAAGGCCAAAGCGCGCCAGGAGCAGGACCGCGAGAGGGTCCAGGCGAACCCGCCTCCCGCCCCTCCACCTGCTCCTCGCTGAAGGGCTGAGGTAGACGACGACGACGACCAGCCTCTTCCCTGGTCACGCCGCGTGACGAACCGAACGACGGCCAGCAAGTCGTCGGGCTCTGCTACTGACTCCTCCTCGTCCTCCTCCTCACAGCCTGCCCCAGCGGCAGCGGCGACCAGGCCGGCCGACAACCCCCCCCTCCCACCCCCCGTCGCCAAGCCCAACCCCCCCCGCCCCCCCCCGCCAAAGCGCAAAGATCCGGATGTGCTTTATCTCGAGATCGAAACAAGGCGGGGGGGGCAGGGCGCTTGGCATCGCCTCACGCTCAACCCGCTCTCTTCGTTGCAGTTTCTCCTCGGAGAAACGTCGCGACTGGCTGGCCGGACGGTGGGTTCCTCGGAACCCACCGGGCGTAGGATCGCAACTCCCGCCAGGAGTTCGATGGTTGCTCGTGGACGAGCATGAGATCGCGGCTCACGACAGACCGCATCTCGCGGTGCCGCCCTCGCCCCTGGTGGCTGAGGTTCCCCAACGAGTGGTGGCACCCGAGCTCCTCCCAGCAACCTCCTCGCCTCCGGCTGAGGTTTCCCTCCCCTGTGCTGCTTCCCTGGCCACACGTGGGTCTTCCCCGCTCCCGGAACCAACCGGTCCTCCGATGAGCTTTCACCCCCGTAACCGTGGGCCTCCCGCACCGGTGGAGCCCCCAGCCACTGCAGGAGTTGCTTCCTCAGCCCCGGCCGGCTCTCGGCCCGCTCCGCCCGCTGAGGCCCGTCCTCAGGCAGGTCCTAAGAGCCTTTCCTCGCCTTCGGCCGAGGTCGCTGCCTCCTCCCTGGCCCCTCTTCGGCGTGGGTCCTGCCTCCTCGGCCCTAGCAAAGGCTCCACTCCCAGGCCTCCCTGAACAGGGCACCCCTGCCTCCAAAGCCACCGGCTCTTCGGAGACCCCCTCGTGTCTGGCTGAGGTTGCAGCCTCTGCTTGAGTTGGCCACGAGGCACAGCCAGGTCTCGAAGGCCTCGCTTCTGTTGCCGAGCAGAGGGGGGCCAGTCCTAGCTTCCCGAACCCCTCAAGGGGTCTCGGGAGACGAAGCTACGGACTCCCCAAGCCCTTCTCCTCGCCGGCCGGCTAGAGGTCCGGCTCCAGCTGAGGCACGTGAGGAGCCGGCCCACGTGCAAGTCTTCAGCGAGAACTTTCTCCGCTGTTTTGCATGCGGGGTCACTACCTCCAATCAACAACTGATGGAGGCTCACGCCATCACGGCGAGGCACGTCCGCCTCACCACGGCCTACGTGGCCAAGCGAAGGCGTGACCTGGCAGCTGCAAAGGCTGCCCAGCCTCCTGTGCCGTAGGCTCTGAGCTTCGGCACTCTTCTCCTAAGGCACACCTCTGGCTCCTTCCTCGCCTTTTGGCTGAGGTTCGACCCTGCAGCGGTGCTTGGGAGTGCCCAGGGCATCCCTCGGTCCTTTCCTCGCCTGTTCGGCTGAGGTCTGCTCCTGAGGCAGCTTGCCCGGGCCCCGGTAGAACCCCGCCTGTACAGTCTTTGGTAGGGCCTACCCCTCGTCTGAAAACGACTGAGGTTGGCGGGTGTAACTAGCCACCTGTAGTCCAGGACGTAGGGCCGCCCTTGCCCAAAGTGGCTGAGGTTCTTCTCACTTGCATGTGAATTCATCTTTCGGACTCGTCTATGACGGCTTGCAGCCCGGCGCAGAAAAGGCTTCGGGTTTGGGGCCGGGAAACTTCAGATGCTTTCGGCTTTGCCATTGCCGTCCACAGCAGTGGTTTCTGGATAAGCACTGTTACTTGTAGCAAGAAAGCTTCTGCATAGATTTGGTGTAAAATCCGCCCCGGGACGTATTCCAAGATCTCCGCCCCATCTCGGCCCCTCTTATTGCAATGCTTTTCCTTTCGCGGTCAATAGCTCCGTGGAGTCGACATCAGTATGCCGCCCCCGGAAATGGTATCAGTGTGTTGATTTGTACATGTATGTTAGCCGCATTCCGGCAGCGGTGCAACAGATTGACGAGTTTGGGGACAATGCGTGTATGCCCAGTATTCCCAGTAGACTGTCGCAGAGCACATGTACCACCGAATTCGGAGTCACAAAAGCCTTGAGTCAGGCAAGGCTTCTAGGTTCGACAGGGCTGTCTTGAGATCTTCTGATGATGCACGAAACAACCCCGGCGAAGTCTGCCAAGCTTCGCACATTGGGTTCTATAGTGTGAGGATCTTCTGTAGCAGTTGCACTCGAGTGTAGCAGAGGCGTAGTACTCGGCCTCGTCCGGCGCAGCCTGGGTTTGTATGTTGTGTTCAGCGGCGTCGTCAGATTGAAGTCATGCTCGACACCTAAGTGTAGGGGATCCTTCAAGATAGTGCGGCGAAACGACAGACTGTGTTTTGAACCCCGCATCCACAACCTCTCATCCCACGCTTGGGGTATCGGGTTGTAGGGATGCTTCAGGGCGATTTGGTTTTCTGCTTTGGTGCTCACAGGGCCTCGACCTGAGGTTCGGAGGGCCCAGCCCCAATACCGAAAATGTTAACAGAGGCGTTTGAATGGCGTAGTGTATGCCCGTAAAGTTCCCAAATAAGTATACAACCATGTACACCAAGACCCCGTTCTAAATGTGCGCGAGCATGAAAAGCTGATCTGGCCCTTCAGGCCGTCCCACTTTCAAACCCTAAACCTCGAAGCCTGACCTTGCAGCCCTGCGCAACGTCAAAGAACAAGCATGACTGGAAGAGACTCTGACGGGATGGCATTGAACCAACGAACTTACATTGCATTCCTCACCACGAACTTGCATTGCATTCCTCAGATGACGTGCATGTGCTGCTGTAAAACGTGCTTCGTTGCTGACGCGTTGCCTTTCGCGTGTAGGCTCATTTCCGCTCCCACAATTGGTGCTGTTGCTGCAGTGTGTTAGCATGATCATGATGCCGGTTGTTGGGTAAATTATCATGAGCACTCCTGGCACCATCGCTTTTGCCAATGCTGCCATGGGTGTTAGTGGTTGTCATCGTCCCTGTCACTGTCGTCATCATGGTCTTTCTTCGCGTCTGGTTGTCATGTTCGTTAGAGGAGGGTGGTCGCGACAAGCACAGAATTTTTCGATCTTTTGGGTGCGAGGTGATGCCTTCTTCTGAGACATGGTCCGGCACAAGCGGGAGCGCACACGGTCAGAAAAGTCCGTGAAGGGCCTGGCGAGAACTTGGGGTGAAGATTGTCACGTCAGGCTTTGTCAGGACCTGTGTGACTTAAGTCGGCCGCATGGCATGAGTTGATGCGGCTAGCGGGTTCAATCCGCCATGATTATTCCGGATTGTCGATTGGATGCTGCTGAACCGGGCGCCTCTACAATCCCAAACCACTCTGCAACATGGTGCTATATGAAGCTTTTACTTCCAGTGCGCGAAGCGTTACATGCCCATGTGCACACACGAAGAACAATACTGGAGAGGGACCACCTTCCTTGGCGCTTGTACTGAGATCATGTTGTGTCATCTCGTAACAGGAAGTCCATGCCAATGATTGTGTGAATGGCAACGACAAAAACTGAATGCTTGCAGGTGCATAGTCTTCGTTGGCTGTGAACCTAGCAGTGTATGTCTGTGAACCTTTCGGTTTCAAGCCGGTCCCTGTTTCCCTGTTCGGCTACGCCTGATTTACCCTGTGACCGGGATGCAATCGAGACTTGTCTTTGTATGCGCTGGTTCCAAGACGCAGGCAAGTCCGCGGTGGCTGTCACGTGATGTGAGCAGGCACAATGATGGCGCAACATGATGTCCTGACGTTCGCGGAATCAACCTTAAGCCCAATTCTTTAACATCTGAATCCTAGATGAACCTGAAAGACAACTCTTGAGCCCTAAAGCCTTCACTCGGCGCTCAGCCCTAAAGCCACTCCAAGGTTTCCTGCGGCCATGGCGGCCGCATCATCAGCCCG